AGGTCTGGAGGGCGACGTCCCGGCCTCCCACCGCACACGTCGGACTCGGTCTGCGCTCCGGGGCCGGGCTCCCTAGGACAGGAGGGCACAGAAGGGGACGCCGCAGCCGGCCGCGGGATCGGGCAGCCCTACCTGCACGAGTGCTCTGACCTGTACTCGGCGCTGCAAGCTCACTGTTATGATCTGGTTACTGGGGAGACAAGAGGCCAATGAGGCTGGAGGACAACGGGCAGGGAGGGGCCGGGACGGCGGGAGGGCGGGACGGGCGCAGGGGCAGCCAGTGGAAACCCGGCCGGCTCTCGCGGGCTAAGATTGACAGCGGGAGGGGCTGAGAAGGCCGGAAGTGCGGGGTGGGAGGGCCTTCTGGGGGCGGGGCTTCAGGCTGCCTTGGGGAGGAGCCAGAGACCTGCAATGGGCGGGGAGTCCAGGTCCCTTAAAGTGGGCGGCTGGAGTGGGCAAGGGGCGGAGGTGCGGCGGTGCAGAGGAGGAGCCAGGGGGCTTTACTGGGTATGAAGAGGGGAGGAGCCAGGAAAATATACTGAGCAGGGAGGGTAAAGGGCGGGGCAAAGGGAGGGGCTCGGGTACTGTAAAGGGCGGGACCTTGGGGGGATGGGCGAGGGGAGTGGCTCAGGTACTAAAGAGGCTAGAGCGACAAGGGGAGAGGCCAGGAGAGTTTAAGGGGCGGGGCAGGGGCAGGGCTTGGGTACTGTAAAGAGCAAGGCCTCTAGGGCTGATGGTGGGCGGGGCTACGGGGCTGGCATTGGGCGTGGCCAAATGCCTTAAAGGGCGGGGCTCCAGAAGTTACGGGCTGGGATGGGGGGTTTCTACGTTGGAAAAACTCGCAAGCTTGGTGGGAGGACCACGAGAAGCGGGCAGACGCTCGGGCATTCGGGAGACGCTCGGCCTCTGGGCGCCTGAAGGGGGTCGGGATGACTGAGGAACACTGGGCTGTGAAAGCAGAGAAAGGCAGGACCTGAAAGGACCTGGAGAGAATGTCTGGAAGGCTTTAAGGCCAGGATAAGGTCCTGCGAGACCAGCCAGAGTAATGCGTGCCTTAGGCTAAGACCACGTTAAGAATTCACTAGCAAGAGGCCGTACGGACACCCGAACTTGTGAGAGGAGCGCTCACCACGACCTCTGGTCCTCGCAGGCTCACTACGCATGCGCAACCAACGGCTTGCAGAGAAGCCGCCAAAACAGCTTGGCCACCTTCGTGGTCTCGCCCAGAGAGGCGGTGGGCGTGGTCTCTTCTGGCCACACCCTCTCCCACAGGGCACGCCCCCGCCGCCTGCCGCTGTCCACGTGGGCCTCCCTGGCGGGCTGGCAGTGGGCGCCTCTCCCTGAAGGCTGGGTGTGCCCGCCGCCTGCGGTTTCCTGTGGGAGGAAGAGGCCGCGAACGCTCAGCAATGCTCCACTCCTCAGAGGCCAGGGTGGGGAAGAGCCCGACACCGCCTTCGGGTCGATAGATTCTTCCCCTTCCACCGAACCCTACCTAGATCAGGGACCCCGCCCCGACGTCCCCCAGGGTAGCCCGGCCCGGCTCAGATTCAACTCAGAGAACCTGACTGAGTGCTAGACGGCTGTTCCCACCTCCCTAGCTCAAGTCTTCATCTTCCTAGCCTCTGCTTCTTTCCTCCCAGAGCTGAAAAGCAGTCCCCTAACTCCCATGCCCTGCACTCTTTTACACGCGTGCACACACACGCAAGTACACCCCACATCCCACACCCATAATTTTTCCTTCAGGGCCTTAGACTTTCTAAATTCCTTCAGGATCTGAGTGCAGACCCACATTCACATCCTTCACATCCTTCTCAGGAATTTAAATTAAGAGCTATTTATTCCCTTCCCCTAGAGACCCTCATTTTGAATTCCAAACTTTAGCCGGGGAACCCAGTGAACCCAAGAAGTCGCTCTTTCCCTAATTCCTTGGGTACTGCTGAATCCCCTCGGGGCCCTAACGCCTGGTATCAGCACAGATGGCAAGAACGGCTGTGTGCGTGCTGACTCCTCTATGGACTATACTCACTAACATTTACTATCATCCCTACTTTACGGATAAGAAACAATGGAGGTTAAGAGTAGAAGTATTTATTGGGAGAAAGATAGTCTCTACCTAAGAGAGACAGGAAAGTGGGTTGCCTGAGGACCTTGCTTCTCAAGGGAGTTATATACAGCAAAGCTGAAGTGAGGCGGGTATACAGTGGGACAAAACTACATCGCACCTGCCTTGCAAGCACAAGGTCCTGAGTTTGATTCCCGGTACCTCCCTCCCCCCCCCCAGAAAAAGAAAGAAAAAACTATAACCAACCAATAAGATTACAAGTATGGTTGCTTAGGTAATATTTATTAAATGGGGATTAAACTGGGAAGCAAGTCACGCAGCAAGTACATGGACTGAATAAAGTCTTTTCCTGGAAGGAGTGGGCTAGGGAGGTTTTGGTCACCACCCAAGGGGAATGGTGCCTGTTTAGACTATCAGTCACTAGGGCCAGGGATGTGGCTCAGTGGCTCCGTGCCTGCCTGGGAGGCACAAGGTTCTGAGTTCTATCCTGGGGGAGGAGAGAATATAGCAGTCCCTGCTGTCCATTTAGGGGAAGTATGTGGGTGTAGTCACTACTCCTTGTCTTCAAGCCTGACCTTTAATGAATGTACCTCCAGCCACAGTTGTAATATGTTCTTATCTTCTGTACTGACTCTCCAGAGGGCCCGGCTCTGTCTGACTCCCTAGAATGTTTTAACTCCCTTAGCTGTCCATAGTACCAGCCTTTGGGAGGCTGGGGTAGGAGGACTGTCATCAGTTCCAGGCCAGCCTGGGCTACATAGAGAGAATCTGTCTCAAAAGACCCACATACACAATGAAAGAGAGTGGGGTGGAGGAAGGGAGGGAAAGAAGAGAAGAGAAAGAAAAAGAAACTGAGGCATAAAGCTGATTAGTAATTTGCTCAGAATCACACAGCCAGTGAATAAAAGAGCTTGGATTTGAACCCAGCCCGCCTGGGTCTAAGGTCTGTGCTACACTTGTACCAGTTTCACTCTGTCTCGGGGTCCGGACCACCACACCCAGCTCTGGCCTCACCTCATGCCCAGATCTCCCCCTCATGCAGCTCCCCAGCTCTCGATTCAGGTGGACCCCAGCAACTTGCGCCCTGCCAAGCACTCCAGGAGCACGGTTAAAACTCAGCCCCTGGTACGTGTAGGACAGACCTGTGAGGCCCCTCGCGGCTTCCCGATGCACTGAGCAGAGGCTCCAAGCTCCTCCCTTGGTCTTCAAGGGCACCCTCTGACTTCCCATCCCTCGCTCCTTTGGCTGCCTGTCCTCCGGCCACACTGGCCCTCTGTCTGCTCCCCAAACAATTGGAGCTTGTTCTCCAGAAACTGCACTTCCTGTTTCCCTCGCATCCGAGGATTCCTGTGTCCAGTCTCAGCTCACGGGTCACCTCCTCCGAGAGCCTCCCTGATAACCCCTCGGCTCCATCGCTCTGCTTCCTCCAGACGCAGAGCTCCTGGGACGGTTTGCTTTACTGTCCATCTGTCCCGCGAGAAGACGAGCCTCAGAGCTGCTGAGCTCACAGGTGCTTTCTGCATCATTCTCCAGTTTCTGCCTCACAGCCCATGCTCGGTCCGTGTTTGAAGGAAGAAAGCAAGGCTTGGGTGGGTCAGCATGACACTCCTGTCCTCTTCACCCAGAATATCCATCACAACTATTGCTACCAGCATCAGGACATTGTCAGTAGTGGGCCTCGGAATGAGCTCAGTAGCGCCTCACCTGCCTCGCAAGCCCAAGGTCCTGAGTTTGATCCCCGGTACCACACACACACACACACACACACACACAAAGGAATATCGTCAGTACTCTCAGTAGTACTATACCCAACACACAGATGAAGAAACTGAGGCTCGGAGAAGTGACATAGCCAGCCCCAGTCACCCAGCCTGGACACGATGGCCTTGGGATTCTTGACTTCCATCTCCTGACCACTCCCAGGGTTTGCAATCCTTTCTCCTATCCTGGAACCTGGCCTCCTCCTCAGGCTCCGTCCCACTCAGTCCCCAGCCCCAAACTCCAGGGCAGAAATCAGAGGCGCCCGGCCAGCCCCACCCCGCTCGGAGGAAGCCCCGGAAGATGCCCGCCTAGGGGCGCGGGGAGGGGGCAGAGAAGGAGGAACCGGCGCGGACCCTCCCACCGCGGTGGGCCCGGCGGGGCGCGGCGAGGG